GTCCTTTGAAACTTGCGGTCTTCTGTAAGAATGGTTCAGCTCTGGCATCCGTATGCCTTTACATCACATTCTCTCCATACTGGCTATCTACTAGTATGGGCATCTTACTCTACTGCGCTTACAAGAACGAGCCCCTTATATATAATCCCCGCCAGGTGTCAATTTGTCCTAATGGATGGTGGAAAAGCGGGCCGATTAGGAATATCCGTTGCCATTTCTCTAACGAGCCCTCGTTAAACCGCCGCGCCATCGTTAGGACTTGTTTCACAACCAGATTTAGCTAATTACGCGCCTACGACGATTTCGAACAATACAAGAAATTGTTGCCATTTACAGGGCCGTAATTGAACGGAATGCACTAATTTGAAAGGGGATTTTAATCCGGCAAATGCCAGCAGCCAAACAACTCGTTAGCTGCGTCAATAATGGAACTCCTAATTGCTTCACTTTGGGATTATCGGCTGCATTTTATGTGTTTACCAGTCAGGAAAATGCAATAAATTGCTTTTCATTATCTACTAGTGTATGACACACACGGTTATTTAAAAATCAATCCATCTGCAATTTAACTCAGATCTCACACTCATCCAACACTGATCCTGCTTTGATTTTCATGATACTTTCAGTTTAAACCCCTCTGGGTAATTTGCAGGGTCCAATCGGGCGGTTACTTAGAATCCACTTCATCCCCGTCATTTTCCTCTCTATCAAGCCCGCTCTAATGCCGATATATATTTAGCGGTGAAAAGGCGATAAAAGCTTTTACCGGTGCTTTTTTCCTTAATTTGATTAAAAGCGAAAGTAATGATTCATGGACAGAGGCTGCAGGCTCGAGCGTATCGATGAAAGCGAAAGGAATTTTCGCTTTATATGCGCTAAGTGCGGATTGTTGTAAACTCGATGCGAACATAAGGCGCTCCGCAATTTGAAATATAGGCCCTAAAAGCCTGACTAGATTGGGCTTTGATACGTTCCTTCAGGCCGTTCTAGGAATATATTGAGGTCCCTAAATTTTCCAACTATATGAATACTTTCGATTGATATATGACGGGTGCAGGATTTTTTCTGAGCGCAAATCAATCATGGTTTAATGCAAATTTTTTAATTTTTTGGGCAAATATTTGCTGTTGATATATTGTTTCCCATGGTTCTCCTACTGATCGCTTTGGCTTTGATTGCAGGTTTATTTTGTTGAAAAGGGACCGCCATCTAAAATTATCATAATTTATGATTTGTTGTTCAGGCGAGGTTTTCATTTGAAAATACCCAGCAATTGGAGTAATTTCCAATTCTTTTTGTTCCAGAATAATGTAACAATATCACACCAGAATCTACATTTGACCGTTAAGGGCAGGATACTATGCACGGGTCTGACAATGGCAAAGGTTAGTAAAGAAAATAAGTTTTTTTACCAATTTTCTCCAAAAAGCCTTCAAAGTATTTTCGATAAAAAAATTTATGTTGGTTTTACACTGAATATTTTAAACGTGCAGTTTCTTCCCTTGACAAGATATTTTAAAGTATTTTACTCTTATCAAACAAAAAAAAACTCGGAAGAAACAGTTCAGCTCATTAATTATTGTTGAATGTTGCAATCAACCTAAATTTTACTGATTTCAATGATTTTTTGTATTATGTTAGTTTCATTCCAGATCAATACAGTTCAGGTACGATGCGGAAGAATCGACAAATTAAAAAGTAATGCTGAAACCATCGGGTATGACGCATAATTTTGCGTGCTACTCAAAAGATTTAGCGCAAATTTGGCGCAATTGAGCATGAGGGAAAATTTTCCCATTTGAACCTCAATTAAGTGCGCGTGGTCAAATTTCGATGTTTTTTATCAAAACTTTGTGGAAAATCACAAAATCTCCAGTATATCGCTTATTAGAAATTTTGGGGAAAAAAGTCAATATCAACTTTTTTCCAAGTATGGTTTCCGCTAACCAAAACTATCCTCTGAATTCAGCCATGGTTTTTCGTTTTGGAGATATTGAGGTTCATCGGAAACTTGTATTTTCACATTTCTTAAAAACCATTTGTAAAAGAAATAGTTTTGACTGGGATGCTTCGGTTAGCAGGAAAAATTGCATTTGGTCGATTCATCGGATGAAATGAAACTATTCGTTGGTCTTTTTCTGCAATTATTTTCGCAACTTACTAAAAGCAGATGCGAGTTTTGCCTCAGGCCTGATTTTAAAGTTTTCTGTGCGAAGTCGGTGTAACCATCTGTCCGAATTTAAATTAATAGTTGTTATCACCGATTTTTGTGTGAAAATGTTTTCATGTTTTATTTATTTTGCATATTAGTTTAAAAAGGGTCGTTTTTAGTGCGCAATTTTTTTTTGGTAGTTTAGCGTGTTGAGCTCTGAATCAATCAGCAATACCGAAAAAACGAGGAAAACTTAAGGTTTTTTTGAATAACTCAAATATTATCTGGGCCCCATCTGCATCAATCAGAACTTTGCCATTCGGCCAGAGATTTCCTTCAATAATCTGCATCAGAGACCATCCAAGACTACATCTGTTGTTCCTTCGGAATTATTAAAGATATATATCTTGGCCAGATTCGAGGGCCCTTGATATCAAGCTCAGGTTCGCCTAACAGACGGAAAGTGTCACGTCCCTAAACAATATACTCGACGCGAGATTTATTGCCTCTCTTAAGATGCTTTTATTCTACTTTATAGTGTCACTACATAGTTGACGTTCATTCGGGAAATGCCCTTATTGAATATGATGAAACCGTGTTCTTTGTGTCAATGGAAATATGTGCATTTAAGTGAAAATAACGTTTGTTTTGTTATTATTGCCGGTTAAGGATCCGGAAAATTTGCTCTGTCCTAATTAGCCCACTTGTATTTAAATTTACTTAAAATTTACCAATGATTTTCGATTGAAATTAGCGATAATTTGTTGAGGCTAGCGACAAAATGCAAATTGATGTTATCAATCAATTAATAACGTTATTAATTTAAGGCGCAAATGCATATTACCATTTATCATAATGTAAGCTTTGACTATGTCAATTTGCAGAGGCAAATTCAATTAGCGTCAGTCTTTCTAATCTAAATCCGGGCCGCAAATAACCTGTAGTTAATGCAGGCGAACCGAGATAATGCCGGTAATTAATCTGAATCCAATTAGCGACAGCTGCATCAGTAATTTTACGTTAAAGGCCAGTTTATTGAAGGGTAATGGCATATACATTACTGTTTAGAAGGAATAAATGCGTTATGGTTTCCGAGCGAATTTGAGCACTTTGTTGATGATAATTCCCGATTTATTAGGGTTCAATTCACTGAACCCAATAAAAGTGTGCTCAAGTGGCCATCACCAGTGCCCGAATTAACTCCGTGTGTTTTGTGCGCAATTCGCATAAAAGCAACATTTTTTAGCTCGCATTGTGCTCCTCTCGTTTGCTGACATCTATGCCGAAAAGACATTTGGGAGGTCGATTAAGAGCAAAAGCCCCATCTAGACAATAACGACTTTCAACCGGAATAATTTATTTGTCACGGAATGAAAATAAATGTCGCAACTAATAGACTGATACATGAATTCGCTATTATTTTCGAGAAACAATGATATCAATGGTAAATAGAATCAGACATTGCACTCACGCTTAAAGAGGATCGGGTGCTTTAAACACAGGATCTTACTTTGCTTAAGTGTATTGTTGTATTAAAATGTATTGCCGAAGCTGCGCTTGCTGAAGCCGTTTCAAAACTTTCCAGAGATGGAATCTCTTAATAATATACATACACATGAGGTAATGGGGATGGAATCAACCTATTTGGGGATCAGGATTTCATCGATTAAATTTCTTCTATATTTTTTTCAATGGTTTTGCCAAATTAATGTTTCAGGCTTGACTGACTAGCATTGCGTTGAATGCAAGTTTTATTTTAAAAGATTCAGTTGGAATTACGCGATTGAAAGTTGAGGCACAGAAATATTATTGAAAACGCATTAAACACACTGCGCAATTTTTCAATAATTAAAATTACCCAGAAATGTCCTGTTTCTGCTTTGTTTGCTAAAGTTTCCAATCCAAATTGGAACCGATTGGAATATTTTAAAATGACAGAAAGTTTAAGGGGGCAACGCAAGAAACATTCTGCTCTGAAGGAAAATAAACTTTTGTCTATTTTTTTGTGTCTTTAAAATTCGGAAATTTATTTAAATATTTAAAAGATCTGCAACGTGTTCAATGTTTGTTTGTTGCTGTTAAATAATTAGTTTTAGAAAAAGTATTTATACTTCTGTGCCTCAACCACCAATCGCGTAATTCTAAATGAGTCTAAGAAAGAATTAAAGAAAAAACTTACCTCGAGAGTAAAGAGAGAAAAATTTTGCCTTCACAGAATAGGAAACGTTTGTATAATTTTACGAGAGTTTCATTAAAATTAGATATTTGAATTAATTATTTAAACAATATTCAATGTTCAATGTTTCTGTGTCGTTTCTAATACTTAGTTCCTGAAGTATCCCTATTTCTGTGCTTCGACTATCAATCGCGTATTTGAACATATTCAACAAAGAATTTAAAAAATAAAACTTACGTAAGACTCATCCAAAACAAGAAACATTTAGCCTTGAGAAAAAAGAAATTTTGTGTAATTCTAAACGAGTTTCGAATTTCAGGCACTAAGTATTTCTTAGCGCCTGAAATGTGTATATTTCTGTGCTTTAACTATCAATAGCTATATCTAAATGAGCCTAAGAAATAATTTCAAAAAATAAAACATACCATAAAAAGCTTTAAAAAAACAAAGCAAGAAACATTTTGCTCAGAAAAAAAAAGTTTGTCACTCTAGTCAAGTTTCGAAAAAGTCGCATATTTCATTCGGAAATGTTTAGGATCGTGCAATGAGAACGATGTTCCCTTTTCCATTCCTATTTTTGTGCGCTGATTAGAAAAGACGAACTAAAATACAGCCGTATAAACTCAATAACGAAAAAAATTTAAAGAACCAGAACATTTTCCTCGCAACTGAACCATTTTATTTATTTTTGTAGTAGTTGCTTGCTCCTTTCTTCCTCATTGTTTGACTTTAGTGAATATGTTGCATATGAATATGTTGCATATGCATGTGAATATAGTGAATATGTTCCAGTAACAATCAAAACTCCGCAATTAATTACTTCAGAAACCGTTAGGCACAGTAGATCAATTACCTAATTAGCTCAAGGCTTTTTGCTAATCAACATTTAATACTAAACTGCATCTTCCGGCACTGTTTAGTTTTAAAATACCATAAATCACGCTTCTTCATCCATTTCTCTACAAGCAATTTCGATTCACCAGCTAAATCAAGGTCCATTTTCATTAGGCCTTGCACAGGAGTGGAGGCCTACCAGCAGGAAACTAACACTAACAATTAAGGTGGCAGCAAGAGAAGACAGCTAGTGGAAGCTGGCTGGTTCGCTATGCCCGCATCATATTATATTTATCAAAATAATTATCTCACAGGGCCACGTTAATTACGTGCTCCCTTCCATACTAGTGAGAAATCTTATGTAAATTCACTGGAAGCGGGATGCCATTAATTAATAAGGAACTTCACTAATTGCCTACGGTAATGATTCGTAAACAGCGCAGCTCAACGCTGAGTTATCAAGCAGCCGGTCAGGTAAACAGCGCTATTTTGGATGTTCGATTAATAGACAGTATTGTTGTTGTTTTGGTTGTTGATTTTCCTCGACTCATTGAAAACCTCAAGAGATACTAGGAAATCGCTAGTTTTATCGCAAAATTATTTGTGCAGGAATTAGGCATTCGAATGGAATTAAATTCACTGTGAATAAACTGAACTTTACTATATCGATTACTGTGCTTCACTTTTAAATACCTCAAATGGTTCTTGAGAAATGAACTTCAAAAGAGAATGTCGCAAAAATCGAAAAACTGCGCTAAAACTTGTCAAAATTGTTAAAAATGTATTATGCTGGAGCAAACACTCGAATAAAACACAATGGGTTCTTGAGAAATTAGTTTTGGAAGAGAAACGTGCAAAAATGAAAAAACTTCCCAATCTTCAAAAATTAATCATAAAAGAATGAGCAGCTGGAATGAAACCAAATTTACACCTCAAGTAAACTGAAGCTTATTTTGTCAACTGTCCTTGACCGCGTTTCAATGTCTCCAATATTTATTGAGAAATTAATTTCGGAACAGAAAAGTGCAAAAATCAAACAACTTTCAAAATTTCAAAAATTAATCAGAAAAGAACGAGAACCTGGTAAGAAGCCACATTTTCACTTCAAGTAAACGGAGGTTTCGTTTATCGCTTCCTGATATCCAGGTTCCAATGCCTCCACTGATTTTTGAAAAATTAACGTCACAAGAGAATGGTAAAAAAAACAAAAAACCGCGCAAAAG